GAACATTGTGAGTGTATGACTAAGAATTTTAAAATTTTAAATGAGTCTAATCAGGTTTTATATATATATATATATATGTGTGTGTGTGTGTGTGTGTGTGTATTATACAGACTTATCTGCATTAAGCATATTTAATGGCTCATTTAACAAGTTTTATGCCAGTAACTTCAAAATTAGATAACTATAGGGTATCGAGTTTAAGATACCCAACAAACTTAATTGCTTGAGTTAAAAATGCTACGAAGACAAATATAAGATGATCACAATAATTCAATTCTTTTGAAGCGAAATAATCCTTTTCTTTTATGGAGAATATATAAAAGTTTATGTCAACATATTAAACGTCAATTCATATTGAAAGTCAACTCACTATACCAATGACCGCTTCCTAAATCTCGCAGATACAGTCAAACCTCACCCACAAGAGTTTAATGTGTGCAGTGCAGATTATATATGAAATAACATATACGAACTAATACAAATAAGTTTTAAATAAGTTAACGAAAACTTTATTCACTATTAGTAAAGTTTACTAGTACTCGATCACAAAATAACATGTCCAATGACATAAACAAAAAAAAAAAAAAAAAAAAAAAATCCCTTTTTCTTTTTCATTTTTAATTTTTTTTATTGTTTTTCATTTAAGAAAAAGGATATGCATAAAAAAATGAAATAACAACAATATAGTGCATACATGAATATATGGATTCCATGAACAATGTAAATGCATGCACCTAAAAACTTTATCAATGAGGAACATAAATGCCCTTATCATGAATTGAAACTCGAGTAATACAATAATTTAAACAACACTTTGACTTGTGAATTTACTCTTTTTGATCCAAATTTTCTTAAAAGAATATGTAACCTTAATCAATTTAGTCATCAATTCAGTCAAGTTACTCACTTGATTAGTCAAGAATCTAACTTGAGTGGTTAGATCTTGTTTGTTATTCCTAATTAAGGGTTTACAGGTCTAATGTGACCTAACTTACCACAGTTATGACATATGAGAATGAGTATAGAAGTGATCTTAGGTTTCAAATTTTGAATTTTAAGTGGGAGAAACCTACATTGTACATATGGTTTATGTTCAAAAGCTCTCATTCTATTGGTCTCATTCCTATTTAAGAGTAACATCTAGGTCTTATGTCTCCTATAATTCGACAATGATGACACGTTGGGATGAATCTAGGAACAACTTTAGGTTTCAAGTGTTGAACTTAGAATTTATCGGGAGAGGTACAAACTTGTTTTTAAAAGAAAAAGCAGTATTATAATTTGTTTTGTTAAAGTATAAATCTCCTCTATTCCTAATTGTTTTGTTCAGACCTATTATATTATCGATTTTCTTAGATCCGTTATAGAAAGCTTGAAGTTAGATATTTAAGTTTTTTCAAATCACTCATAGGAGATTTAACCTTAACATCTAAGGACTCCTTCTCAACCCTTAACTCATTCAAACTTTTAGTGAATTCCTAAAGTTTGGCTACAAGGCTCTCCTTTTCAAATTCAAAATTATTCAATTTTTTAAAGTAGAGCGATTCATAGTTTTCTACATAAGACACTCCTCAAAAAACTGGTCATAAGCCTTCTGAATATCCATCACACTCAGATCCCAAATCAGAAAGTTGTTGACTCATTTAGGGAAAAGAAACTCTAATATAACTTGAAAGATCTTTGTATCTAGACTCAATTACGTGGAATTAAAATAAGTCACTTAATTATTATTTCTAGATGATTAAAGTAATTAATTCAATTAAATTAACTCAAGTGTCAATCAAATAAATTTTCAGATCAAAGCAATAAAATAAATAATACCAAGAATTGATCATGGAGGCTAATTAATAATCCAATAGAAAAGTTAACTTACAATTGGTTCAATACTACTAAATATTAGTTGATTCTGGCAACATAGCTTGTAAATCACTAAGGAACTCATTTGGTTGTGCACGTTCGCACTTTCGAGAACTCGGGCCGCTTTTCTCTTCATTGGATCACCAAGAACGAATCTTATTTTTTAATGCCAGAACTTCAAGAGCCTATTCTCCAAACTTCAGAACTTTGAAGGTTTATAGATGAAAGTAGGCTTTTGTTTGGTGTTTGACCTTTGTGTTTTGATCTGTTGCTGAGGCAAAAGATTTATTGGAATACGTACTGGATCTTCAAAGAATGTTATCTTGACTTAAAACAAAGGCTCAGCAAAACAATATTTGGAAACAAATATGAAAAATATATTTGTAATTGAATAAAAGGATCTNCATTTTGAACGCTAATCCAAATACGTACATCCAAAGATTTATGGAATGCTCTCATTCGAACTTTCCAGTAAGCATAGTTACTTACGTAAAAATATGGAGGAACAGACAATCACTGATTCATCTAGATATTATAAAGGGTCAGGAATCAAATTAAGGCTCTAATACTAATTGAAAGTTACGCAGTTCGACCCTAACAATACCTAGAGGGGGTGAATATGTATTATATGCGGAATTAAAATCTCATTAACTAATTGGCAACAAGTCACCAATTAATTATCTATAAATGGTTAATCATGCAATCAATTTAATCATAAGTTTAAATATCACAGATCATACATTCATAATATAAGGTAGTAAACTAACAACGGTTTGATAAGAAGAAACCCAACTGGGAAACACTCCGGGCACTTTTCCAGTCAATCTACTATAAACGAATTTAACAACTTACAATCTACCAGACTAGATGGCCTGTACTATTTGATCTCCCTTCTGCACTCTTTACAGCTCTTCGTGGATCCCGTGCTCTCATGCACCAATCCTTAGCTGCAGTTGCCAAAGCTCTCCATGAAATCTGCTAACCTGCAACACTCGTAGCCTTGTGAATTCGTTTATCTCTCGTGGATCATCGAAGAACAACCCGTTCTTCACAGACAGGAATTTCTATCAACTTCTTTTGATCTTCAGAACTTTGACCAGATGTAGAGGAAGTAGTGGTTTGGTATTTGGATTTGGATCTGATGTTTTTCTCTCATAAAATCTCACACAGATGAAGGTTGAAGGATATGATATGGAGGAATCACTCTCTGATCTGTTTCTCACAATGTTCAACCTTGAAAAAACTTTTAGATGAGTTCTGATATTTATGGGTAGGTCAAGAAACGAATAGGTCGGGTAAAAAGCCTTGAAATTGCCAAATAAAAAATTTTCGGACAACACTGTCGCTCGAGCGAGGGACCAGCGACAGTTGAACGACAGCCTGTTACTCGAGCGAAGGAGGGGCGACAGTCTAGCGAAGATATTTCTGCATTTGTAGCTCGAGCTAACCCTTGGCGACAGTCCAGCGAAAATCCGCGCCGTTTTCTTTCTTGTTCCAAACTCGAATCCCTAGACCTACTAACTTTGAAAAAATTGCACATTACTGTTTGAACTTTAACATCCTATCAAATTAAGTCATTTCGTCAAAAGAATTTGCCAATTACAAAATCAGCTAAAACCTAACAAACTTCTATACATCCTATCAAATTAAGTCATTTCGTCCAAAGAATTTGCCAATTACAAAATCAGCTAAAACCTAACAAACTTCTCCTTTAGTATTCTGTGATAAAACAATAATCTATATCAAGACAGTAATCAAATAAAAGTTACAGACTCAATATAATAACACAACCTACAACTAACAACTGTCTTGAATGAACAAAGAAGTACCTATTTCCTGAAATAGACTACTCAAATACCAGTATAAAATGTGTGTAAAATAGGATCAATGACAATCATAGTTCAAACTGTTTAAGTGTAAGAATCACTTAAGCAAATGTAACTCATAAAGAAAATTTTTTAGTTTTATATTACAAGCTAAATTAAGACATAGCATCAATGCAACCCATTATACCAACATGAAACATTGACACTATAAAAATATCAAAAACTTAATTTAGCGAAACTGAAACATACTCCCCCTTGTTGCAAATTTTCAAAGATTTACTAATGCACTAACGCTCCCCCTATGTAAATTCTTCTCCCCTTTTTTTCACAAATGACGAAGGAAAAAAAAATATTAACAGTAACATACAACATCTGAACTATGCAGGTGTAAGCAGTCATAAGTAGATGCAGTGAACAATAAACTTTCCCACACATCCAACTCAAGTTAACCATGGAGTAAATGATATAAGTGACCTATATGTGCTAAGTACTACTAATTCGTTAATAGTAGGATTCCAAATTTTAATTTTTTGAGAAAGGACTT